TGCATTCTGTACATCTCTCTCTGTCTCTCTCTTGCCCTCTCTCCCCCTTCCTCCCTCCCTCCCTCCCTCCCTCCCTCCCTGTTTCTCTCTTTCTGTCAGTGGTTAATGATCCCAAAAACAAGCTCATGGTGAGGGCATACTTTCAATTTTGGACACATTTAGTTTTGATGTGATCTTTGCTAATTTTCATAGTAAATAGATAAATAGAACCTGGCACAATGGCTTAGTGGCTAAATCATCACTTTGAATCTTTTGGTATCCAACATAGGCACCAGTTTGTGTTCCAGATGTACCACTTTCCCTCCTTCTCCCTGCTTGTCGCCTGGGAAAGCCCCAGTAGAAGATGGTCCAAAGCCTTTGGACTTGTAACCACATAGGAGACCCAGAGGAACCAAGGAACCTCCTGGTCACCCATAGGGGAGGTCTAAATGAAGTTTAAAACACCTAGCTTTAGAGTAAACCAACCCCAGACATTGCAATCATGAAAGAAAGAAACAGAGAGAAACGAGAGGAGAGCAGGGGAGGGATGAGGAAGGGAGGGGAAGAAAGGATTTGATCACTTATGGGCAATGATGTGAAACTTAACTTTTATGAAATGTTTGTTTCTGGAAGTTTCCATATTACTGTTTTGGGCTGAAGTTGTATATAAGCAATGAATGGAAGCCATCTAAATATAATAGCATAGGTAACAGGGCAACTGTATATTTAATGAATGTGATTTTATTATCCACCTCTTGCTCACTTCCTAGTTACAACTCCCATTTCCCTAAATAAGCTGTTTCCTACAATTGCCAGTTGAATAGTACTTATTAGAATAGAACTGTACTGCACTCTAAGAAATTGAGTGCTGCCATCAGAATCTGATTATATAGGTATTTTCAATGACATCAGACATTCAGTTGAACTAGCTTAGCTTTGGTCCTAAAAAAAAAATCACATTGTAATGTTTGATCAAATATCAAATTCCCCTTCAGAGAGTACAGTCTTTATACCTCCATTTTATCTGCTAAGATAATGTCATATTTGCTGTACGATAATGAGATTTACTTTTTTCTGGAGGGAAATTCATACTTCAAATTTAGTTGATGAATGAAGATCTGTGAGGTTTGCCTTCAGTATCCCCCTTTGAAGAACATATTTGAGAATAATGAACATAAAAATGTAGACTGAGGGCTTGGTACAGAGGCCTAATGGCTAAATCTTCAGCTTGCAACTGCCAGGCTCCCATTTGGGTGCCTGTTCATGTCCTGGCTGCTCAGCTTCCATCCGGCTCCCTGATTGTGGCCTGAGAAGGCAGTAGAGGAGGAGCCACAACCTTGGGACGCTGCACCCTTATGGGAAACAGTGAAGAAGATCCCTGCACCTGACTTCACATAAGCTCGGCTCTGGCCAGTGCAGACACCTGGGAAATGAACCAGCAGACAGAAGATCTTTGTGTCTCTCCTTCTCTCTCTAAACCTGACTTTCCCATAAAAATAAATGACAAAAAATTTTTTTAATGTAGACTGAAGTGTTTTATGGATTGACTCAGTTAGAAAAAGTTGGTAGTACCTAACTAATAACATCAAAAACAATCGCAGTAGGAAGAAGCTGTGCTGCAGCAGGTTAGCTCGGCACTTAGGAGGCCTGTATCCCAGTTCAGACTGTCTCAGGTTGAGTTCTGGCTCGGCCTCTGGATGTGAGTCCTGTCTCTCTGTCTCCCATACCACTATTACCTTTGACTTAATCACCTCTACCTCTGTTTCTTTCACTCTTTCAAAATAAAATAATTCTTCTTAAAACAGCTTTCTAAATTTTGGAGAATGTCCATATTATTCTTTTCAGATTGCCAAATTGATTTGAAATAGCATTAGCTCACAAAATAACTAGCTCACAGTTTGAGCAAGTTTAGTGCATACATACAAGTGACATGCATAGGGAAGAACTGGAATATTTCAGATTTTCGGTCTGTTTTCGCTTTGATAAGAATCTGAGGAGAGAGAGTCAGCATGACAGCATGTCAAGGTAAGCTTCCAACTATGGGACAGGCATTCAATAGAGGCTTCAGTTCTAATGCAGGCCATTCTACTGTTAACCCAGCTCCCTGCTAATGGCCTGGGGAGGAAGCAGAGGCTGCTCTTAGTGTTTGGGCCTCTACATCCTAACGGGAGACTTGGATGAAGCTCCTGGCTCCTGGGTTTGAATTGGTCTGGCTCTGGGCATAGTGGCCATTTGGAGAGTGAAGCAGAGTGAAGATCCCTTCTCTCTCCCTCTCTCTCTGTATCTCTGGCTTTCAGGTAAAAGGAAAATAAACATTTTTTTTACATGTATGAGAATAGATAAATAATTAACTCATTAGGTATTTTGAAATACCGTTTTCTCTACTAGCATATGCAGGTCACCTTGTACTCATGTAATAGAATTAGCTAAACATTTATTCCTAGTATAAAAAGATATTACTATGTGGAAAAATGTACTGGTAGTTAAAAAAAAAAGATGTGCAATGAAAAACAGCCGCATTCCCTAATTAGTGCATAATAACATTAAAATAAAATGATTGAGACATGACATAGTATAATTCTTTTTTATTACCAGTATTGTTTTCATGTAATCTAATGCTCTTTTTAATTCACCCAATGTTAAGTAATTCATTTTCAAGCTAATTTTTCCATAATGAAAATGTTCTTTTAAATAACATGTTATATTTAATATTAATAACAAATGAGGAAATGTTTGCTTAGTTGTATAACTGAGCAAAAGCTATTTCATTATCACTAAACTTTTCTCTTGGGGAGGTCTTTGGTAAGTCGAAGGAGATGGTGTCTACTTCATGAATTTGGAAGGAGGCACAAAGGAATCTAGATTTATTGTAAGTCAGTAAATGCATATCAAGGTTCATTTGGACAGGAATGGTCATAGAATTTCCTAGAGGAGGAAAACACAAAAATAAAAACGTGGAGAAATGAGGCAGAGTGTATGAGACTGTGAATGATGCCGCATGTTTCAATTTATCAGTAATCTCCCTGGAATCAACCAATCCCTGCTGACAAGATGAAGTTTATATCAACAAGTTTAGCCCAAGACTGACCCTGCCAACCTTCCTCCAGCCTTAATTCTTTCAGCTGACCCATTGATAGTCTAAGGTAGTGTAAAACATGTAGTTTTCTTACTTATGGCCTTGAATTTATAGATGCATCCTTATAATTGTAATGCCTTTTTACATTCACACACACACACATATGTATGTGTGCTATTCTGCCACTTCTCTTGAGAAGTTTTCTCTGATCTTCTATATTTAAGTCTGAAATCTATCCTCTGTAGAATGCTGTTTTTTTTTTCCTTCCAAAATAGAATAGGATCTAAAAATGATGAACTGTAAATATAGCAGTTCTCCCACTCTATTGAAGGAATCAAAATAAAAAACAGAAGACTATTTCCTGTGTCTCATATACTCTGGAGAAGGCAATATAAAAATGTGTAACTGTCTTGACAACAAAGTAAGAATGTAAAATTACTAATGGCTTTGACATGTTGGCATACATGTACTTACTAGAAAACTGATACAAACTTTACATTGACCTAAATGGGAATGGTATTGTTATTACTACAGGTAATCTCTTATCGTAAGGATTTGATGTTTTATGTTTTTAACTTAAATTATTGGTAGACCTAAAGCATCTTAAATATGAATCCCCTTGGCTCCTTCTTTAGTCATATTTTTTTCTTACCATAAGTGCTATAGATGAAATGCAGTTCATGGTATATATAATTAAAAATTGTGATGTCATTCTGAAACCATGACATTAAATTTTAGTATCCTGTAAAATAACATCATCCTTTGTTACAAATCAAGTATGCGTTTATTCACATAAATAAAATTAATGAAAATTCTCTAAAGCCAAAGTTTGTGTCATGTTGAACAGGAAGGTTAATTCAGTACCTTGCTTATTGTTTATGCCCTGTTGCTAATTAATATTTTAAGACCAGTTCACTTACTTAATCTTTCTGAATTTTAAATCTTTTTTAAAACCAGATAGGTAGATAGGTTGAAGGTTTAAAATCCTGAAATTCTTTTGTTCTACTATGACCTTCATTATCAAATGAGAAGGAATAGCTTTACAAGTTTTATCTTTTAGAAATGGAGATTTATCTACATTGCATTGGGTATATTACACAAATAAAATTTGTTATGAAATATATAAAATCTAATTTACCTAATGATTGTATTGTCTGTGTTTAACTGATGTTGTTGAATTACTACTATTTATTGCAGCATTAATGTTATGCTTTTATTGTTAACATTATTGATGTGAAATTTTGGCAAGGCTGATTCTGACATTATGCTCACATCAAGGTTAAAAAAGAGAGAGGATATTTTGTAGGCCACTTCTCCTCAAGAAGGCTAGCATTTGTTTAAATACATTGTAGGACACAGCCAGGTTGTGGAAGATGAAAAATTAAAATTTGGAATGTGATCTTTCCTAAATAACTCTTTTATACTAGTCTAAGGGCTGGGGGAGAGCATAACTTATAATTGTAGTATTTGGATTATTTTGGAAAAGAGTAGAAGGAGCAAAAGCATTAAGGAGAAATTATGGTAACCCTATTGGACCTGTATTGTTCTCTGTATTCTGCCTGGGATTCTTAGGGTGCTTTTCAATTACTCCCCAGTCAGATGCTTACAGATTGCATTCTGTGAATAAGGGAGGACTTAAGGAAGTTCGAAGTCAAGATAGCTCAATTTGTTTGTTTTATTTGTGTAGCTATTCCTTCTTAATTTATACTACTATAGTTAGGGAAAAATCAACACTCATGGAAAATTCTTTCAATTTCTCTAAGGTAATTTGTTAAGTATTATAATTTGGTTGCAGCTGTTATTTTTCCTTCCTTTGATTCTGATTGCATCATCTTCTACAAAGTTTGGAAATTCTTAAGTAAATCTAACGACTCAACAAAGTCACGTCATGTTCAATGTAATGTAGATTTTTTTTTCACCACCTTGTAAACTTCTTTCTCTGCAGGCATTCCATCTGCACTGTGTACATTGAAGTGCTTCCTCCAAATAATCAAAGTCCTCCTCGCTTCCCACAGCTGATGTATAGCCTTGAAGTTAGTGAAGCCATGAGGATTGGTGCTGTCTTACTAAACCTACAGGTATGCCTTTTGTTACCTATTATCTTTCTATGTGTGTGTCTAATCAGTTGCTCCATATCACCTCCAAATGCATGGCTGAAAGGCTAACGAATTTACATTTGGGCTTGAAGAAAAAGCCTCACAATGTTGGTTAAGCTGTAGAGACTGGAAATTCCATCTGGAAAGGAAAATGTAAGTAATACAGATGGAAGATTTCCACAGCTAGTCTGTTCTACTGATTAGCACAATTAAAAGTCTTATTTCATTGGCAGGAATTAGCTGACATCATGATAGGAAAGAATGAAGGAATTGGAAACACGCACTTGAGTGTTTTGTGCTTTGTGTCTGAAGAGCTGAAAGCTATTATATTCTAGTGTGATGTGTTTTTTCCTGGCTGGATTTATTTTTGATGTAGTGTTGTCTAGAGGAAAGAACTTTGGACTCAAATGCTAATGTTTGGCATTCTAAATCTGAAGCTTCATACTGAAGCTAGTATGAAGCTAGTGCTTCATACTAAAGCTAGGATAAGGCTTGGAATTTCTGCTACATGTTATGTTTGTTCTGATGAAGGGGGGGTGGGTTTGATTGATTTTATTTATGGGGGTTTTTTTAATCATAAAATTCACAGGTGTTTGAATGGTCACTTGTTAAAAGAATCATTAGAACTCTAGTGTTACCCATCAATGGCTGGTCAAAAGGCAGAGTTGCTTTTCTCTGTGATACAAGGGAGTGGCAGGGGTTACCAACAGGATGATTCAGAATCTGGCCTTGTAAGTTAGGGAAGATTTTAATGTGATGAATCCAGGAAAATCCAAAGATCTATCTCTACCAGAATTACAGCCACATCTTCCCCAAATCCCATATAAATCCTAATACCTTCTCACAGAAGTCCTATCATATCAAAGTAAAGATTGCCTAGAATGATTGTACAAAATGGATGTAAGATAATAAAATATACCAATCTAATTTTCCACATGTGGAAAGTTAACCTTACAGAAAAAGTAATTGATGCCCAAAATGAATTGCCTAAATTTCTTACTTTTAAAACAGGCTGTTCTTGTTATAGCTTGCTATTTGTAACTGCCAAAATTTGATTGGTATTCCCAGATTCTTTGGTGTGCCTCTACTTTAATACTTGTTTTGATCCTATTATCTGAATAATTAGAGTCTGATTATTATTCTATTAGAACTTGTTGAGAAATGAATACATTAGTAGAGAAATGTGGAACATTTTAGTATATAACCTTTAAAAATGGTGTTAATCGGAGAAGGCATTTGGGAATGCAGTAGAGACATTGCTTGTGATGTCATGAGATGGAAATTTGGCCGTTTCTCCAACCCCAGCTTCTGTTCATGTTCACCCTGGGAGGCAGCAGCTTTTGGCTCAGGTGGTTGTATCCCTGTCATCAATGTGAGAGGCCAAAAAGATGGATATCCAGGGTCCCGTCTTCAACTTGCCCCAGCCAGCCCTTCTTGGTGCAGATATTTGGGAAGTAACCAAATGATTAAAAAATCTCTGCCTATATTTATCTTTGTGTCTTTCATAGAAAGAACAAATTACAAATAAAAAATTACTAACAAAAAATTACTAACAAAAAATCAGTTTCATCGGGATGGAAAAGCAAGCTACTCAAATTATTATAAAGAATCAAACTATTAATACATATTTATTAAATGATATTACAAGAACCCATTCATAATCTACATTTAAATCTTCCTTAAGAATTCATCTTTTATGTCTCTATGTTCTATGCGATAAAAGATAATTTCCCTTGATAAAGGAGTTGAGCTTCATTCAAATACATCCCAGAAAATTCCAGGAAATATACTGAAAGAGAATAAGTCTATCAGGCCTCAGATTTCTTGAATATAAAAACTTGTGCCAAAAAACGCTTGCAGTGGCACTTCTATTCATCTTTTGTGCTTCTGGATGAAGCTCACAAAAAGGATGCCACTTGCAGCAGCAGTTTCTATTAGAAAGAAAGAGGGTGGCACCATCAAGTATTTATCCTGGGCATCAACCATCCACTTTTGTTCATATACAACTGAGATTGAATTTGAACTAGTGACCTATACATTGAAAGGCTGCCAGCAAATCACTCTTCCGGAGACTCCTAGCAAAAAGGATGTATGAGAGGCTCTTTGGCTGTCTGCAGTATCTCTGTCCTCATCCATTTTGCAAACATCGCACTGTCTACTGCTGACTCGCTGCTCAATTTAGAAAGACAGGGTGCATGACTAAAAGTGTTTTTGAACATAGGAGCTGACTTGTTTTAGAACAATCTGTTTTGACTGAGATTGAAGTGATTTCTTTTCAGACAATGAGCCTTGCCTCTCCTGTTCTCTCTTTCCCTGTTACATAGATGCCTTTCACGCCATCAGTGGTTTTGCTTAGCACCTGGATGATGTTTGACTTGCTATTAAAATCGAAGTTCACTTGAGGAAACTGTTGCCCAGAACTCAGCTTTCTAAAGTTTCTTAGACTGAACAAAATCCCCATTATGTGTGATTTTTAGTTCCATGATTGCTTAGTATCTATTCACACTCATGATTACATGTAATTCTGACCTTTGAATGGACCTTCTGCAGTGATTTCTGGAACCAGATTATTTGAGAAAGTGCCAGTTGTGTGAACATCCTCCTTATTATTCATTCAGTTCTGTAGTGTCAGCTTGATGTTGCAGTTGTGGAAATATCTGTGTCACAGAAATTGGTGGATAAACATTTACTCTCACACCCTCGTTTTGGAGGCAATCAGTAAACTGTTTGTACTCCGGTAGTTTATTGCTTTTTGCCCTGCTGAGGTTTTGATCTATTTTCATCATACCATATACAATGCAACACTATCAAATAGAACTGGGTGTTATGCTCATGCACACAGCTTCCTGTTTTCCTCATAGAACATTTATTCCTTCCCAAATACTTATAAAGGCACTTCACATTTTCTTTGACCTACCACAATACCATTAGCATAATTCTCTTTTCTTGGACATGAAATCCTGTGTGCCTCATTGTCATCCTCATGCTCAGAAAATACCAGTAGCGTTTAATGCTGCACTTAATGTTGTCAGGAACTGTTTACATTCTTTAAATGATTTGATAATTCTACCTCTAAGGAGAACTATAGAAACCAACATGTCAGTAATTTATAACAGAATACAGTTAACTCACACTGGGTAACTATCATGCTATAGCTTAGTTTTACTCATATTTCACAATCTTTTTAAAAAGGTACAGCAGCTCTTATCTAAAAAAATTAACTTATATCAAAAAATTAATGTTTTTTTACTTCAATAGTGCTGTAGTGTTTTCAATAAATTCTTAATTCAAATTACTTATTATCTCTAACATAACATCCTAATCATTTAATGTTATTTCTAATTTTTTCACTTGTAGGTTTCAGTACTTAAAGTTGGGTATGTGACCAGTTAAAATAAAAGCTGTATCTCTTCCACAAATAAATAATATTTCATTTTATTGACCAAACTTCTCAGCATGGAGGCTTTTATGTCTGAATAAAAATTACCAGGATTGTAGCACTTAAAAGATAATTATAATGGAAGACTTAAATTTCATCAGATGGTGCCTCTTTCAGGGTCAGTGCTGGGCATTGAGTCCCTAAACAGTGGAGTTTATTAGTTTTCATTCTTTTCTAAACTAGTCCTAGAATAACCTCAATACAGAATACTTCTTTAGGAAATGCGTTTTCCCTCCCTGTCCTTTCCATGCATGTATCAGAGAGAAAATATAAAAATATTAAAGAAAGGAAGATATTTCAGAAAATCACACTCAGCTGGCTCCAAATAACTAGAAAATCATTCTTAAAATAAAAAGGAAAGGAATTAAAATAAATATGATCCACGTAGCAAGACATGCTGATAAAAAGAATCAAAACAAGTTTACTAAGTTACAAAGCTTAAGTTGGAGGATTGCTGATGATGTCAGCTATACCCCAGAACCAGAATATTAACAAAGCACAAGACAAACAAGGAAAACTCAGTTTTTATTTATATGTTTTTACAGTTGATTTTACTTAAACTCAGTATAAGATGATGTAGGCCTGAGTATTTTGGAATGGAAGAAATAAAAAGGGATTTTGAAGTTTCTTGAAACTATGGGAGTTGCCTGATATTGGCAAATGAAAAAACACTTTTCTAGAGGCCATATTGTGTTACCTGCTATGTAGAATTTTCAATTATCTTATTCCGCAGATGTTGACATTATTTCTGGCATGGTCAATTTTGGAAGAAAGTCTTAGTTCCTTTTTTACTTCTACAAATATCCAGTTCTACAAAATTTCCAGTTACCAGAAGATGCTATGCTTTACTGAAAGGAGCAAAGAATGAATAAATATTCAGTCATCTATTGCTGGTGTGATTCTCCTAAAATATAGCTCAAACACAATTTGCAAAATGGGGTATGATAAACGGGGTATGATAGAAAAATTACAATGTCTATAAATTATACACTTGGTAGGGGAAAATAATTAGAACTAGGAGGATTTAAATGCCATTCAGCTATTTCTTGATTAAAATAGCTGTTTATTTGACCACTGCTTTTACTGTTTATTTACATTGACACATGGGTTTGCTAGTGAAAAAATGATAAAAGCAATAAGCAATGATTTATTTGAAAATGTCAATTTTTTTAAAAATTTTTTTTATTGTTGTTAACATTGTATTATGTGATACAGTTTTATAGGCACTGGGGATTCCCCCCGCCCCTCCCATACCCCAATCCAATGGTGGATTCCTCCACCTTGTTGCATAACCACAGTTCAAGTTCAGTTGAGATTCGTTCCTTGCAACCACATATCTAGCATAAAGTCCAGCGTCTTATTTATTTTTTTAAAAAAATTCAAGAATAAAGGCAATCTTTTACAGAGCAGTAGTATGCTTGATGTACTTGCATCCTATGATGGAGTGTCTGGTTTGAGTGTCAGCGTCTCAGCTATGGAGACACCAAGCTGGCAGCTGAACACACTCAAGTAATTGAGTCCTTGACGTCTATATGATAGATCC